ACTTCAGAAATTACGAGGATGTGCGAAAATGGATCGACGAATGGATTGCATCAAAAGACCAATCGTTCTATCGTCGCGGAATCTACGCGTTGCCCGAAAGATGGGAAAAATGTATAGCTAGCGAGGGAAAATACTTCGATTAATGTATTTTTTGCTTTTGATGTCGAAATAAATGAGTTTTTTAAACAAAAAACCGCAGGAACTAAGTTTACCACCTAATAATTTGTATCGTGCATGTAAAAAGGAAAAGTTGTAAATCCTCTTCTGCGGGACTTAGGAGAGCCAACTTCACTCGAAACAGACCTTGGAAGGAGGCAATGAACTTCTTATATCGAATTAACGTAACAACAAAGGAAGAACGCAATGCATAACGAACGGCAGAGAAAAGCTCACCGAGCTCCAGCAATTCCCTCGTGGTGCGCGGAACGTTCAACGCCCGGTCCCTCAGCCTCTCGAAGGTATTGCATATCTCCACATTGTAATTCCAGTGACGCTTGACGAGCTCATCGATGACGAGTGCGCGCAACTCGTTCGCGTAGGAGACGAGGCCGCGTTTGGCAGCGAGCTGATGTAGACTCATTGTCGACAGATATTCGTTGTTGGGCTACAAACGTTTTCTCTGGTATTGCTCTGTCATGTTGTTCTCGTCGTTCTCGATGTGAACGCGATAATCGTTGAGGTGTCGCACACATGGATGCTCAGGTAGCAGACTCATGTCAAAATGACGTCCAAATTTGGTCAGTTCATGACCAAAATGACCAAAAATGTCGTGAAAATGTCGTCAAAATGACGGTCTAATCACAGACCGATGACGACTTAAGACGACTTAATGACGTTTTAATGACGTCTCTAAACGTCAATAATACGTCATTAAGACGTTACAAAAAAGACGTCTTAAAGACGTCATTATTTAGTCACTCGACCAGTTATGACCAGTTTTTGACGTGAGTCTGCTACTTGGGTGATCATTTGTGTGAATTACGCTAGGCGATTTGATTTTCTCTCCAACTTAAAGCTTCTGGCTCCCCGCATTGTCTATCTCTTTTTAATGACGTCAAAAGCGAGGAAATGCATGCTAAAAATTTTTACGAAATACCTTGAAATCAAAATATATATCCATAAAGTAACACTTGCAATCGATTAAACAAATTTGTAAGATATTCCGTGCACTACTCTTTTGCTCTACCAATCAATAATTTGTCGTAAATTAACGTGACATACAATTCATCTTCTTAACCTATTTCTTTGCCTATTTCTATTCAGGTTAATTTACAATAAATTATTGATTGTTAGAGCAAAAGGGGAGTGCACGAATTATCTTACAAACTTGATATTTGAGGCTTTCGCGGTATCCATGAATATTAGATTTAGTTTTCGGGTTTGAGCTGCGTGGATTTTCCTTGTCTGATTTCGACGTTTCGTGAATATTTCAGTCCGCTTCATCAGGAGAAGGCATCGGGTCGTTCCTCTCTGATAAAGCGTCTGAAATGTTCGCGAAACGTCAAAATCAGACAAAGAAGAATCCACGCGGTTCAAACCCGGAAACCAAATCTAATCTTACATATTTATTCAATCGATTGCAAGTGTTACTTTATGGATATATATTTTTATTTCAACGTATTTCGCAAAAATTTTTAGCATGCATTTTCTCGCTTCTGACATCATTAAAGAGATAGACAATGCGAGGAGCCAGGAGCTTTAATACTTAACGCATCGTTGATTGATAAGGGGAAAACAAACTCGCAATTTGCTATCCAAATCGAACTTTGTTGGTCGCTTCAAAAGTTTTCTTGTGTGTTGATGATTTGAATGAAGTAAGGATAGAAATCGGACAATGTTGAAGACAAGGATATGTTAACACTTGTGATCAATTATAATTATAATTTAACTCAATGTACATTGAGAAGAAAAACCTGAAAATTTATAAGTGAGATGTAAAGTTTATTTTTCAGTGAATATACTTTATATCCCACAAATAAATTTTCAAGTACTTTTTTCAATGTATGAAGAACTTTTGTGTGTCAAGAATGTCGTAGCGGTGTCAAACTCAAAATTTATTACAAAATAAAATTTACTATAAAATTACTTATATTAATATTAATATATTAATATAAGTATTTTAATATTAATATATTAATGTAAAGTAAATTATTAATAATAAATTATTAATAATGAATTATTAAAAATAAGTTATTAACAAAAATATAATATATTAATATAAATAATTTAATATTAATATTAATATATTATAAAATTTATTACAAAATAAAATTTACTAATAAAATTTACTACTCTTTTTCACGTTCTAAAAATGTCGCGGTGACACCTCCCAGGTTTCAAATTAATCTTAAAACTAGCCCGATACATACATATTACACATCGAGAGAGTTTCGATTTAAATTATATCAGATTACATTTTAATTTAAGTTCAGGTTAGATTAGATTTAGGTTAAGTTCAGGTAGCTTTGCTACGACGTTCTTAGAGCACAAAGTTGTCACAACGCCCTTGGAGATATCTTTTCAATCACGCAATTAATTATGCAGATTAACTATCGCGCTCGTGAAGGAGAGTCTTTGCGAGTCGTGAGATGTCTATGATGTCAAGCGTACGCTCGCTAAAGTCGAGGTCTGCTTCAAACTTGTATGAGACTCGACAGAAACAAACTGCACTCACCATACCGTTGATCTCGCGTATCCGTCGATTGAAGTCCTGGACTTGCGCGACACATTCCTCAAGGGAGCGTTCCTTTTCGGTCCGCTCGACCGCATCGCGGCGCGCGTCCGCCTCGTAAATGTCGCTGAACCGCAGCCGCAATTCCACCACGTAGTCGCTCAAAGGCCGGAAGGTCTCTCGCAGAAGCCGGTCCAAGCGTAGATGCGCCTCGTCCAGGTACCAGTCCGGCGGCGCGGCAAACGAGCCGAGGTCCTCGTACTTCACGTCGGCCGTCCCGTCGCCGACGGCGCGGCCTCTGACTCGCGCCCACGACTCCAACGGCGGCAGGTGTCGCGCGACGTGTGCAATGTTGTCCACGAGATCGTGGAAGACTTGGTGCAGCTCCGACAGCCGCGGATTCATGAACAGATCGTCCCTCTCGCACTTCAGCTCGAGCTACGCCCTCGCGATAAGTTCGTTTATTACGATCAAAATTCTACGTTGAGAACATGTAATAATAATTACAACATAATAAGTAACATAATTATAATTGATCACAAGTGTTAACATATCCTTGTCTTCAGCATTGTCCGACTCCTATCCTTACTTCATTCAAATCATCAAAACACGAGAAAACTTTTGAAGCAGCCAACAAAGTTCGATTTGGGTAGCAAATTGCGAGTTTGTTTTCCCCTTATCAATCAACGATGCGTTAAGTATTGAGGCTCCTGGCTCCTCGCATTGTCTATCTCTTTTTAATGACGTCAGAAGCGAGAAAATGCATGCTAAAAATTTTTGCGAAATACGTTGAAATAAAAATATATATCCATAAAGTAACACTTGTAATCGATTAAACAAATATATAAGAACATGTGACGAACGTCGCCGAGCGCCTTTTAGCGGTTGGCTGGCTTTACCCGGAGCAGAGGCGTCGCCGCGGGATCGCCGAGAACCTTCAGCAGATGCTCGATAGTGTCGATCACGCGGCTCACTATTTGCAAGCCGAGCAACCGCGTGGCGCACTTGAGAAAGTTCAGCAATACTCCCGTTGCCACGTCCTGGATGTTACGACGCTGCGAGACCATTCGCACCACACCGCTGTAGTAGGACGCGATGATCAGGTGCGCGCTTTTCTTCAGGTCCGCCTCGACCGAGTCCAAAAATCTGCGAAACATCATTCCCTTGACATACCTCAGTATATCAGTCGATTACAATTAATCCCTCGCTGAAGGATTCGTCATTTCGCCAAAAAGAATTGCACAATGTTGCACAAGCATGGACGTGGAAATTGATTATTCGCGAAGAAGGTTCCCAAGCGCCGCACCGCGCACTTCCATCAGAAGTTCGACGAAAGTTGACACGCGCTTAGGATGAAAGTGGGAGTTTCTATTCCCAATTGGGAGGAAAATACGAGATCGGTTGAAAATTTAGGTGGTTAAGAATTAAGTGAGATGTCTCGTTACGTTCGATGATAGGCGAGAAAATTGCAAAAAGCCAGCAAGAGGGGAATGATGTCGCCTCTGCGAGAACGGCTGATGATTCATCGTTATTACATCGGTTATTCGAATCAATAGCTCAGCAAAGAGTAACGATGTTGTACCTGTCGAGATCGAGGAAGTTGAGCCCGCGATATCGCCCGACGTCGCAGAGCAACTCCGGCAGCAACAGCTGCGCCTTCGCGACGATGCATCTGATAAGCCTGTGCGACAAGTGATATTGTTTGGCGAGCACGCAGCGATTCCTCAGAAATTTCGCCATCGCCTTGGTGCGGCCGGGATGCTTGTACGGCGCGACGACGGCGTACGAGTCCTCCTCGCACTCAATGGCTATTATTCGACACATTCCCACGTGCCGCATCGCCTCGTTGTAACGCTCCTTCGTTTCCCGCATCTGCTCCTCCAGGATATCCGCGTACTTGCCACGTAACCGCGACCGGCCCGCTAACTCGCCAATTCTCTCTTCCCATTCCTGCCATCCGCGCGAACAGCAATCGATGGCGTTTAGGATGCATCGGTTTTATAACGAATGTTTCATTAGGGAGCAACCGATATATGTCGATGGTAAATAAGCTCTCTCTTTATATAAACTTCTTGATATATTCGACGTGAAGATATATCAGAGAAGCATATAGAGCTAGAATATTGAAAAAAATCTAATCTACAAAAATTTCGAAACATTGCAAATATATTGAAGAAAGAAATATCTAATAGTAAACATTTATTTAATGGATAACATATTTAATGACATATTTAATGACTTAAATCTAAATTCTCAAAATTTTAAGGCTTCTGGCTTCTAGCCCCTTGCATTGTTTATCTCTTTTTAATAACGTCAGAAGCGAGAAAATACATGCTAAAATTTCTTGCAAAATACGTTAAAATAAAAATATGTAAATACACTTGCAATCGATTAAATAAATTTGTAAAATATTCCGTGCACTCTCCTTTTGCTCTAACAATCAATAATTTGTCATAAATTAACGTGACATACAATTCATCTTCTTAACCTATTTCTTTGCTTATTTTTATTCAGATTAATTTACAATAAATTATTGATTGTTAGAGCAAAAGGGGAGTGCACGGAATATCTTACAAATTTTTTTAATCGATTGCAAGTGTTATTTTATGAGTATGTATTTTTATTTCAATATATTCCGCAAGAATTTTTAACATGCATTTTCTCACTTCTGACGTCATTAAAAAGAGATAGACGATACGAGGGGCCAAGAGCCTTAAAAGAAAATATATATAAATATATACAGGGTGTCTCACACTCTCCTCCGGGCATTTTGTGGGGACGTAGAACAAGTTGAGGTGAACATTAAAGTCCTATACCGTTTTGCGATATTCGCAATAATTATCGAGATATTAATTGTAGTAAACTTGTAAATGATCATGCAGGATATGGTAAGTGAGTTATAATAGCGACGACTC